CTCCTAAATCACTCGTACGCACAATTTAAGAACAAATCTGTGCGTACGAACGGTTCTTGCATGAGCCCCAATGAATTTTGGTTTTTCGTTTGTTTTTTTTTTTGTTTTTGTTTTTTTCCCAATAAGAGGTTTTTATTCAATAGAATTTTTGGACCAAAAATATCGCAATTTATCGCCTTGTTTACAGTATCGAAATATATCGGGATATATCGTATCGTGACCCCTCTGTCATATGTATCGTATCGCCAAATTCTTGCCAATACACAGCCCTAATGAGTAAGGGATAACAGAAAATCTAAGCCAGACTATGTAAAATTTACCTTTTTAGGCCTTCAATGCATTTTAAGTTGAAGTTAGTCTTTCTGTCTCTGTCTCCCATATTTCAAAAATAAAATCCACACGTGTGCATGCATATGCTGCATGCTGTGATCTGCTTCCCAAACACAATTATACATTTTACCATGTATAAATATACCCTACCAGGATTTCAGCAAAATGTAGTCTGAATTTGGTCAGTTATTTAGAAAATACCTATGTTGTGCTCGTTCCTTCTTCTGTTGGTGCGTTGTGATCTTTGTTGATTGACTCCGCACTTTCTCCGCTGTCCGAATGTAACATTGGCCAATCGCAGTGCGGATGTGGTGTAGATGCTCTCTGTGATTATAATGGGTGCAGAGTGGATGAGGCGTTTTGGGGGTCAGCCTCACGTAGAGACACTGGAAGTTCTCTTCCACAAGAGAAGAGCCTGAAACTAAAAGCTCTGCCTCCCATTCTACTTTTAGAAACATAGGAACCACAAGTAAATCCGTAGCCTGAAAGTGAAGTGCTCTGTTGGGAAAATATGGAACAATAAAATATTTAATGTAAGATGGAGCTTGGTTATACAAGTAGATGAAAGTGGTCCTGGTATCATTTTTAATGTAAAGGGGGAATTAAATATCCTGGTCAAAATAAGATTAATCTTTTGGCTTTCACGCTCTATAAAAATTACTATAATTCTACCTAAACAAAATCCCAGAAAGTAAATGAGAATTTTTTTTTAAATACTTTAGATCAGTGGTTCCCAAAGTTGGGGTCGGGACCCAAAATGGGGTCCTGAAAAGATTTTCTAAATTAATTACATTTTTGCCTTGGTTGCCTAAAATGTATACATGTAGAATAATAAATATTGTTACTATGCCCATGTTTAGTTGACCTGATACAAATGTTTATCATCCAAAAATAGTTGGGGGCACAGGTCTCTGCTACTGTTATTTTGTGGGTCAAAAGCTGGAAAGTTTGGGAACCACTGCACTTCAGAAATCAATTTAAAGGGTAATAAAATAATTGGTGATGTAATATTTTCCCAATAATTATTACAAAAACACAAAATAAGTATAAATAAGTATTTATATTTGTGTAGCCTTTGTTTTTAGGGTTATTAACAAAGTTTGTGTACTCAGACCAGTAATATTTTGGGGTCACAAGTTTTTGCCGTGGATATTTTGTGGGTCAGAGGATAGAACGTTTGGGAACCACTGCTTTAGATAATGTAGCTTTAACACGGATTAAAACTGATCACTTGTATTGTAGTCCGACATACCCTGTAGTTCTTTTGTTTCCCCAAAATTCAGGTTTTTGAATTTAGTTTAAAAAAAAAACTTTTTGCCACCTTCTCTCTGCTCAGATCTCTGTGCAAGCTGCCAGAGCCAAAAAGTCCAACAGGGGCTTTGATGGATGAGGCCAAACACATCGGGAACATGCAGTTCTCAGTCCTAAAGAAGATGTCAGATATCATACAATACAGTAAGCAATCAGTGTTTCTGTTTACTACATACTGTTGACGGTTTCTCTTTTAGAATGTGCAAGTAAATTCTGAATTTTACAGTAATTCAAAAAAAAAAAAACCCAGTGTGTTTTATAAATACTGTCATTTTTCTCTCTCTCCATAGCTCCTGTCATTTTAGATCCAAATGTTGGCAGCAGGGAAACAGTTGTATCCGAAAACTTAACAAGTGCAGCAAACAGTGACAAGGCACTACCATTTCCAGACAACCCTGAACGGCTAGGAGCTTCAGAGATTCTTGGATATAAAGGCTTTAATTCTGGTAAACATAGCTGGGATGTAGAGGTGGGTGGGTACTGGGCAGTGGGCGTGGCTGCTAAGACTGACAACAAAGTTTATAGAAGGATCTGGGCCATCTACATGTGTGTTTGCACCGATATCCTCCGTGAACTTACCCCAGAAGATTATGTCAAAGAAGTAGCACAAGATTCATTTCCTCAAAAGGTCAGAGTGCAGATCGATTACGACCAAGGAGTCCTGTCATTTTTAGACCTTGTTCGAAACAAGTCCGTTCATACAATCAAACACACTTTCACAGAAACGGTCTTTCCCTACTTTAATGGAAACGCCAAACTTGTCCCTGCTAAAGTGTCAGTCAGCGTAAAGCAACCTAAAACCTCTTAGACTGCTTTATTGGATTGTTTGAAACAACATTAGTTTGGATGTTAGAGGTTTGTCTAAACCTTTTAAATTCAGCAAGTTTACACTCCTTTCTGATAAAGTATCGCATCATTATACACTTTTGCATCAAGTATGTATTTAAACTTTGACTAGGACTGCTTTGTGAAGTATGAAAAATAGAAAACAGTCCATGAGCAGCAGGAAACTTTAATAAGTCTTCAAATTTGGGCTGTTTTTTAATGAGTTTAATGTTTTACAAACATTCATTATTTTAATTTAGATGGTAGAGTTTTTTTTTACAGTTACTTACATGGAAAATAACACATTTTAAGATGATATTAAAGGATTTCATGACATTTCAATGATACCTTTTATATTATTAGGGTGTCTGTACGATAAATTTGATCGTAAAGATGTTAAAGGTAAGATCAATAAATAAATCTTGTGAAGTATTTTGGTCTTTGTTTCATAATAAAATCGTTTGACCTTGAGAAATGTTAGTTTTAGAAATTTAATTCAGGTTTTGCACAATATTTTTCCAACATCGTGAGACGTTACAAAATCCAGTAGCTCTCAGAGTAAGTGGAGATTGCTCTCAGTTACTAACACGCCAAATTTTAGCTCAATTCATGCAAAATTGACAGAATTATAGCCTTTTTTTGCAGCTGTGGTGATTATCTTGAATTAGAAGTCCAATATTAACGATGCACGTCCAATTTTGACTTCTTAAAAGTTTCACATGTATCTCTTTAGCTCATGGGATGTTTTGCTGACAGACAGATAAAAAAAAGAGAAATGAGCGATGTTTCAATCTGGGAGAAAAACATCTAATGTATTTATTTTTAGTCAATTTTGGGAATCGAAAAGGAATCTCAGCCATCACACCCATGCTGATTCTCACGTGTAACATGTCTGCCATGTTATTTTAAACGCATAAAAACAGAAGTTACAAAAAAAATTATTGAAGGAAGAAAGCTCTGATGGGGAGAAAATGTACAGTTTTTATTTGTATTATTTTGAATGCTTTATAAAAAAAAATGTGTGTAATAAATGCATGTTTTTCAGAGCCAGTGAAGGTCTAATCATGTGATCTTTAGAGAATTTTTGTTATGTTCAAGTTGTATAAATTGTCACAAAGTGTACCTTTTTTGTATAAAAAACTGCCCAAGTATGCACTCAATGGGCCTCATGCAAGAACCGTTCGTACGCACAGGTTTGTTCTTAAATTGTGCGTACGAGTGATTTAGGAGAAATTGTGGCATTCACCAATGTTTTCGTATTCTAAGATTTTTTTCAGATACGAACAAAATTTACAAGTGGTCCAGACCTGT